CATTGATTTATGGACAAGTAGTCAGAATTACAGCACTCTAAGAGAGATGCCATCTATTTGACAGTAATGAAAACAGGCTGTGAGGGATGCAAATGTGTTAGTTCATGTCTCTTGGCCTATCCAGCTGAAAAGTGTCCAAAGCCAAAACTAAAAAAAAAAACGTTTAAAAAGCATACACATTAAAACTTATGTTCATTATTTTAATATAGAAATGTTGTGTATTTATGTGTTCATGTAAAACTAAAAGCAAAAATACTAGTTGTTTAAATGTTGTTAAATGAACAAAATGTATTTTTTTTAACAATTAATTTGTTGACTATAAATGTATTTATACAAAACTGGCCCAATTATGTATTAAGATAAGCTGACATTTCAGCCATTTATCTTGAGAAATTTGTATTATCTACATTCCATCTTATTGCAGGATAAGTCGTAGTGTCACGCTAATTTTACTAGGCTGTTTGCAAAACTGAAAATAAATTCTGTAACACAAGATAAAATGAAAATGTTTTGTTTTGTAACATCATTTTTAATATGTTGTTAGGAAAACTCCCACTACTGTCAGAAATAGGAAATGCATTTATATCATTGTACTTCTTTTGTAAGTGTTAGGGCCTCTACGACCCTTCCACAGCTTCTTAAAATTAAACAGCTGTGACCATAATAGTGCCAGGAATTGTCTCATCCGTTAGTGACTTGTAAAATCATCAAGTGTTCATGTCAATTGTAACCACGTGCCTTACTTTGTCATCTTGACCTTAAATGATATCAGAAAACAGTCCAGTAATTGATTTTTAAAAGGATATTTAGAAATACTCACACAGTGTAACCAACCAGGCTGACTAATTCTGAAAGCTTGTCTAGACGTCTACCTTTGGGAATCTGTCACCCTGTAAACTGCAGCTGTTTTGTGAGTGATCAGAGTGATCAGCTCTGACATAATTTATGACCGTAACAGCTACATTTCTCTCCCTCATTGTTAAGACACATGGAAGAATTGAGCTGAAATGTGTAATCGATGTGAGTCATAAGGATTCTCTTCTTCTTACTGACTGTGAATCTTCTCTGCTCCCAAACTGCTTAGGATGTTGATCTTATACCTTATTTTTAGGTTTCTGTTGTGTTTGCCAGAATTAAACAAAAGAACAAACTGACTACTTTACCTGCAAATAGGCTAGGTCCTTGATTTCTCAGGTCATCTACAGATTTCATAAAGGCCATTCAGGTTAACAAGATTAAATGACTTCAATCTAAGTTGTTCAAGTTGGCTGTCTGAAGCACAAGCTTTCAAAAGAAAAATTAAACATTTGACACAGCTAACGATAATGTTTCAATTGTGGTCAAGTGTTTGTCATGTGGTGTTACCTACATGCTAGTGCGTAACGAGGATACTATCTGCTAAATAGCCTGATCTGTGCTTTATAGAGCAACTTTCTGTTGGGCTGGAGTCCTGGTTTTAATGAGCATTTAAGTTCCATTAGCCCCCCGCTAATTTTATAGGCAAATTTAGCGTGATGTCTTTACTGATTAAATAATCACTGTCTGGCATGTGTTAGAAAATGCGTCTTGATAATGCGTCTTGATAATAACAAGCAGACACTTGAACCAGTATTGCATTTCTTGTTAAGCTTACGCTGTCTGTTAAAAATATGTTATGAGACTTAAGGAATAGAAGAACCACAATCACAAATGGCTTTATCGAGTCACATAACACCAAATAAAAGTGCACACAAAACAAGCTATTGTTTCCCACAGTGCTTCATTACTCTGCACTTAGTGTCATCATGGGAACTAGCAGTGTGTACAATAAATCATCTGGTATTTTCAGAGAGCATTTGGCTTTACCGGACAGGCTAATTGTTATGGACATTTCAGCACTTAATATACAAAGCTTTTAGATGTCACTTGAGGATAAAGTGAGATGACATCACACACTTTCTCATGGCTAGATGTCTCTCCTGATTCTCTGGGCATGAGTTGGATAAATAAGAATTGAAGTAGAATCCAAGGAATGCAGCTTAATTCTGTTTACACAAATTACATCAGTGATATTATTTTGCTTTAAAATGAACTTTTACAGCCTCCAAACATCAGTGATGTCTTGTTTGAAGAAAATTAACTTATAAGAAAATCAGATGTTCTTATTTCTGCTATTTCTATTTTTTATGGTCACTGGTTTTGGATACTAATTTTAAAAGTTTATTTTTACTTACAAATATACTGTATACTTTTAAGTTGTAAAAGTATAGACAAAGTGTGTGTGTATATGTATACATTTGTGTGTGTAGGACATATTGGACATATCCAAAAACGTAATAATCACTATATGATTCACTGACCACTAACTCTCAAACAAGTTTGGTAAATCACTTTAACTGACTCATTAAAAAGAACCATTTCATAAGAGTCATTTTCATCACGTGCTGTAATGTAGAACTGCCCTAAACTGCATATTTTCTGCTGTCTGCAAACTGTTTTGGTGGTTTAAGTTCGAGAAGTAGTATTTTCCACTCATTTTCTCCATAGGCATTTTAATTACTAACTAGCTGCAAGATTATTCAAATGACCTTACAGCTCCTAATAGATTTGTTTCAAAATGTTTTGCTAGAAATCATTTTATCCAGAGAATAGGAAAATCCAAGGAAATACTACTTCTAGAACTATACTCTTGTGATCTTTAAATCTATAACGCTTTACATTTAATAATATTCCTTCTCTGTACTTTTAGTTTCACTCTTATTCTCTCCTCTATTGCTAAACCTTCTTTAATCTAGTACATTATCTAGAGAACAACATCCCTCACCAATCCTCTTCCTGTCCTCCCTTTTTTTGTGAGATATAACAATACTGGTGTTGTCACCCCAATCCTGAAGGAATGTTGTCTAGATCCTGCAGATTTAAATTATTACACATGTATCTTACATCTCCCTTTTGAAGAAAATGTGTTGGAGAGTTTTCCTGTCAGCTTTAGTTGCACCTGGTTTCAAATAAACCTTTCCAGTCTGGATTTCATCCTCGATATAGCACTGAGACGGTTACCCACAGGTTGTTAATGACCTCCACCTTTCTGTTGTCTCAATCTTCTCAATTTGAACTGTCAACCATAAACGGCTTTGCATGCGATACTGTCTGCCGTAATATACTTAGCAATTGGCATCGCTGACACAGTTCACTTCTTACCCTGATGAAAGTTTTTTTTGCAATAACACAATCCCTCCAGCCCTTTTAACAAGAGGTGTTCCCCAGGGATCTGTTCTTGGTCCTCTCTTTTTTTTTTGTAAACTGTTAAAATATCTACTATACAATAATAAAAGGTTGTCAGTTTGCAATTCAATTTATTTTGACATAATAAATAGAATGGCTACTTTTGAATGGTTGTACTGTAGTACCCACATATACCAGCAGGCGTCATGTTAACCAGCATAACATCAACCTGTTGATCTTGCCTCACAATACTTGCTGATCAGCTGATCTACTCTTATACTGTACCTTGAGTATCAGCCACAGTCAGATTTACCAATTTATGCTGAAGTGAAATGAGTTTTATAGTTTAAGTCAAAGGTCTTTATTATGGTTGGTTCGCTTATTTAATACAGACCTGATAATGTCAGACAAAAGTTAATCTGTTCAAAACTGGATAATAGAAGAGGTTTCATCATTCATCTAAGTACTTTTCAGCAGTTGTAGGGCTTAATCACTCATCTCAGTGACTACATCAGGTTTGGTGGCCTCATCACTTGATGATTAATTAAATACAGGAGCCACTTTAGTCAGTGAAGCTTTGAATCACTTCAACTTCACAGTGTCCGGTTTTCCCACAGGCCTTCCCTGGTAATGATTCACCCACCACTCATGTGATCCTCCTAACCCTCCTCCATTGCCTGTCTGGCCTTCTCTTTTTTCCCATAAACCTCTTGACTGTGTGTATGTAACTGAACCCCAGTGGAAGTGCCATGGACCAGCTCCAAAAGTTTAAATCTTCCCTCCCTCTCTCCTCTGTCATCCTCTCATTTTCGTTTCCGGCTATTCTCTCCCACGTGCTCTCCCAACGTCCACCAGAAGGCCTCCCTCCCCCACCACCATGTCCCGTTCTCCTTTTCCATTTCCTTCTTTGGTGAAAATGCTGAAAAAGAGAAGGGGAGGAAGACCTTCACCAGTGTTGAGAGGGAGCAGATTTGGCCACGTGTTTGTTTTAAGTTCTTATGCCTCATCAAGGCGAAGAAATAGCACACACAGCAAGTTTGCACATAAACACACCCATCTAGAGACACAAGGTAACCTTGAATGAGATTGAAGACAATAGATGATACTAGTAGAATCTTGGGTCCTTGGCCTAAACGGAGTCAAATTTTACCAAAAATACTTGTTTTTGGTGCTTTTGCATAATGTAGTCTCTGGAAAAAAATGACATTACAATTGGTTTAATTTATAAAATATTTATCAACAATCAAACTTTTTTTTTTTTTTTTACCACACCTCAAACTTACAAAGCTTGAAACACTTTAATTAAGAAATGCACATTAGCCAACTCTTTCTCTCCTGCATTAAAGCTCAAAGTGAATATATAATTATACATTTAGAAATACTCAGAAGGTGAAACTAGTAAAATTGGCATCAATAAAATAACAATACTTAATGTCTCAATTTGACAACATGCATACTATCATTTTTGACATACAGACACAAATATTGTTTCATTTCATTCACTCTTAACACAGAGGAGACATGTTTATAAAGATTTAAGAAATTATGAATGTAGAGTTCATAATGAATTATCAAACAATTAAAAAACAGGAAGTGAACAGGAAATAATATGTAGTTTGTGTATATACAGTGTAATGCGTGCTGTATCTCAAAGTTTCTGTGCTTTTATAGATAATTCAAGCTATAGTAGTGCAAATGCAAGTCTGTCCTCCACCTGTATACAAAATGCATTTCAAACTTCATTTTCCCACACATCTCTGGACTGCAGAAACATTTCAGCTGTTATTTTTATTCTGACATTGCTATGCATTTTGGAAGACTCCCACTGAATTGAATGCATATGCAATTCATAAAATGATGAATGCTGAAGTTTTGCTAAGAAAGACAAAAGGTTTTAGTGAAGTTTTGGGAAAAAGTGCTCACTAACTACAGCAGTCACACATATTTATGTGACATATATGGTGTGTAAATGCTTAGATGTTTAGCTTTTGGTGGCTGCTTCTCAAAGTGTAACTTTACTGTACCCAAAACTCAAAATCAGTTGTGCTTTCATTCATGTAGCCTACACTTTGCATGGCACAGAGTGTTTGGAACAGTTCTAAATGGGTGTTCAGTCACTTTAACAGAACACCAAACCTTTGACCGTTTATGAAGGAATCTGTTTGAGTTTTTCCACAGGCTGCAAACACAGACTACATCCACCCATTAATGACCATTACCAGCCTAATGACAGTTCTGGAAAATAAAGATGGGAATAAATAGTAGGCAGATCAGATATTTTTATCTGTGCATAGAGACCTACAAGTTTATGGAGTGTTGATTCTGGATTGTGCAATGGATAGACTGTAGTTGGAACTCAGCATCGCGTGGCTTTCACAACTCAACAGCAATCTTTGGTGCATCTTTTAAAAGTCTTGTTTATCCAGTCGTAAACCAGCAAGCCTATTCTTTGAGTATTTTGGTGAAGCTCAGACTATTGTGTGTGGGGGCAGATTGCTGGTTTGCTGTGATCTCAAACAGCAGTATCTGCATGGGCTAACTTGAGATGTGAAGTTCTCATTTGAGGGCACAGCAGTGTAAAATAGACGTGTGCATGTATATGTATGCGTGCATATGAGAAGGTAAGGTGTGTGGATAGGGTTTGCATTCTATTCTAAGTTGCTGTTGCAGTTGCGACAGAGAATGTCATCTTGCTCGGGGAAGAAGCCTGCGCCCACCAGCGACACGGAACAACGAGAACAGGTGAAGCACGGCTGGTGCCATTGCCGGTCCTCGAACGAAATGTACTTTCCTCCACCAAAACCTAAAATGAAATAAAAATCATGTAAAATCTCTGATGAGTTCATCACATGATGTCAAAACGAAGACATCTGTAATCCCTGACACAAAACCTGTTGCGGCACCACTGTCCAGTGTCCATATCCATTTTTAAACCAAAATGACGTTCATGCGTGTTACCTGTAATAGGTTTTTTACAGGCTTCACACTTCTTGGCGTACAGATTCCCAAAACATTTGAGGCAGTATGGGCTGTCATCGCGGGAGGTGAAGTGTTGGCCAGCCAGTTGGACTTTACAGCTTGTGCACACAAAGCACTCCTTATGCCACGGCTCATCCCTATAGGTCACACCACCTTTAGCCAAGGCCTGAGGAGGAGAGAGTTCATCAGAGACACAAGCAGTAACCTGTCAGCATGAGTTCCCGTATACTTGACCTAAACCAAGCTACATGGAAAAAGGTATGACATTCAAATGCATGCATAAAACCTCATGTCATGAGTGCACATTCATATAATATTCAGGAATTGCATGTTAGGGATGGGTCACTATGGTTGTATAGTTTACAAGTTTGCTCAACAATTGAGGTTGGATAGTTCTAACTAGCTTGCTAATAACTGATCACCAAATTAGCATATTAGAATGATTTCTGAAGGATCATGTGACACTGAAGACTGAAGTAATTGAAAATTCAGCAATGCCATCACAGGAATAAATTAAATTTGTACAATATAAATAAATGCTGCCTTGATGAGCATAAGAGACCTTCAAAAACAAAAAATCATAACAATTATAAATGTCTGATGATATGCATATATGTGTGTGTTTATGTATATAGTTTATTTTATTAATTTATTTTTTGTATTTCACAGAACTGTAGAGCCAAAATGCCAAACAGATGGTGCTTTGTCAGGACAGGATGTGAAACTGACAGCCAGAGTTAATCAGTGACCAGCAAGACTTCTGATATGCAACAGGAAGGAGAAATGAGGTCAGAATTCTGACTTTTTGTGGAGGAATGTGTGTGAGGACTGATGAGGAACACATGGTTATGTATTTCAGGCAGAGAAGCAAGAAAACCCCACCACTAACCTGTTTACATCGAGTACAGCGCGGTGCAAACTTGTTCTCATAGCAGGGTACACAATAGTGGTCATCTTTATCTGGAATAAAGGACTTGGAGCCTATTGGCTGTTGACAGCTGTTGCAAATGAAACAGCCCTCATGCCATGTGGAGCCGGCATACTCAAGCTTCCTGGTTCCTGTGAGAGAGAAAAAAAGGAAGCCTTTAAAATAAACAATTTCCTTGTTTTCGACAGCTGTGCATACCATGTTGCCATAAAATCTATAACTTTAATTCTGTCAGGACCACTATCGCCAAAGATAGTGCACACAATTTGGATTGGCGGTATGGTTCCGTTCTGGGCAAGAACTCCCTGCGCATCCATGCAGTCTAGCATGGATAAGCAGCAATAACCCCCCGGTGTAACAGAACAGAACCAACATAAATGTATTGCAGATGTCATTAGGTTATAATTTAATGTAACATTTTGAAATTAGTTTGATTCAAGGAGAATCAGAGGCTGAATCCTGACTGACAAGAGGAGTCGTCAGGGATGGAGGTGGGTAATTAGGTAATGAGCAACGCAAAGCTGGTGATAATAATGAAGGACTTTATATATGAGTGCTGTGATAGGTGTTGCATCCCTATAGACGTGGATCAGCTGAGAGTCAGCTGATGTGAGCTTGACTAATATGACCTGCCAGAACTGATGCTACGCTATGATTTAGTGATGTAACTTTACATATATAACTAGGGCAGTGAATTGATTATACGTGACCCTGGACCACAAAACCAGTAATAAGTCATTTTATATTTGTAGCAATATTCAAAAATACATTGTATGGGTCCAAATTATCGATTTTTCTTTTATGCCAAAAATCATTAGAATATTAAGTAAAGATATTTTGTAAAATTCCTACCGTATATATATATATTAAAACTTAATTTTTGATTAGTAATATGCATCGCTAAGGACTTCATTTAGACCGCTTTAAAGGCGATTTTCTCAACATTTAGATTTTGTTTGCACCCTCAGATTCTAAATGTTCAAATAGTTGTATCTCAGCCAAACATTCCCCTATTCTAACAAACCATACATCAATGGAAATCAAATTAATATGATGTATAAATCTCAATATCAAAAAAATGGACCCTTATGACTGGTTTTGTGGTCCAGGATCACAATATATTTGGATCGAATTAAGGACATGATGTGCTAATTAAATTAATTTTAATTAAATGAATCATTAAGCATATAGTTAAAAAATATATTAATGTATACTGTGTATTTGAAATAATTCTGACCTTTATTAACGCTAGATTGCGATAGGATAAAGACACTGAATTAAAATACTATACACTGAAATATTTTCTCAAAACTAGAAGAAAACAAAGACCATGATGCATAGTGTTTATTTGCGGACAGGTTACTAAGTAAACATGGTCAATTACGCCATTGTTTGGTCCTCAAGTCGGGATTCTCAGAGATATCAGATCTCCCAGTTAAGTAATGCTGCCATTTTGGTGGAAAAGAGTTATGATGTCTTATTCTCTGATAAAAAGTCTTCCCACTTCTAGGACCACCAAGGGAGCATAAGAGAAATAGTAGGCCCATCATAATTGCCTTGATTCTTTGCATTTTCCCCATTGTGGGACCTGCTGATGAGCATGTCACCAACAGTCACTTCACCCAGTTTGAAAGACTTCATGTTTTTTAAGAGATCTCACCTGAGACTACTTATCGCTGGGATTTCCCTACAAAAGATGAATTTGAGCTTTCAAAGTGACAAAATGATGATCTGACAGTCAAGGTTCATCAAATGATTAGCAGGTTAAAGGTTGACTTTCATAATCCACTAAGTGTTTCACACGTTACCCAGATCAAAAGCCCTGTGGAGATCCTCCTTAAAGAGCCACTGCCAAAATCACCAACGCTTTACACAGAGAGCAAATGATAAAAGTCGTAATCTCCTGGATAACAAAAAACATTTAGAAGAAATATAAAATTACAGAAATGCTGTCTCGCTCAAGTTCAAAACTCACCCCAAAATATGTGTCACCACATTTATCAAAGCAAAGTATAAACTATAGACGAGAGCCCCCCATCCTTTGTCTTTCCCTTGTCATCTGCACATCACAAACAGAGGCCCTAACCACTAACAAAATTGTGGCGAAATATTTTTTCATCTTCTTGTTTTTGGTTTGGCAATTTTTGGAGATTGTAATACTGCTTGATTTGCTAACTGGATTTACCTCAGAAAATAACAGCCACACATTTTTTAATGCCAAAAGCAACTAGATTTACGTTTCCAGTAGGAAATAACAGTACTTGCAAGGCAGCAAAATAAATGTTACAATTTTCGTCTTTGCAGTCTAAAGGCGACAGTCTAAACCCACAAGACCTTCATTCATCTTCAGAACACAAATTAAGATTTTATGAAGCAATGAGAATACTTTTTGTGTGCAAAGTAAACAAAAATAACACATTTTCGTTTCGTAATTTTCAATTTTGGGTGAACCTTTTAGATGGTTATATAGGCACCAAGACCAAGAGGAGTTCAATATGCAAATAGTATATTTGCATATACTATAAATATGCAAATAAATATGACAACATCACTGTTGGTTATACTGTCAGTGCTGAACATTTTAACAGTGCAAAGTTTAAAGCTATAAAACCAAGTCTAATACACCTACAAAATTAAATTATTAACAAAACAGCATTACACTACCATTCAAAAGTTTGTAGCATTTTTAAGTCTCTTATGTTCACCAAGACTATGGCAAAGCTAAATTTTCAGCAGCAATTACTCTGGTCTTTAATGCCACATGAAATCATTCTAATATGCTGATTTGTGCTCAATGTTGAAAACAGTTGTACTGCTTAATATTTTTGTGGAATACATTTATTTTCATGAATAGAAAATTCAAAAGAACATGATATACAGGTGCATCTCAATAAATTAGAATGTCATGGAAAAGTTAATTTATTTCAGTAATTCAACTCAAGTTGTGAAACTCGTGTATTAAATAAATTCAATGCACACAGACTGAAGTAGTTTAAGTCTTTGGTTCTTTTAATCGTGATGATTTTGGCTCACATTTAACAAAAACCCACCAATTCACTATCTCAACAAATTAGAATAGTTCATAAGACCAATAAAAAAAACATTTTTAGTGAATTGTTGGCCATCTGGAAAGTATGTTAATTTACTGTACATGTACTCAATACTTGGTAGGGGCTCCTTTTGCTTTAATTACTGCCTCAATTCGGTGTGGCATGGAGGTGATCAGTTTGTGGCACTGCTGAGGTGGTATGGAAGCCCAGGTTTCTTTGACAGTGGCCTTCAGCTCATCTGCATTTTTTGGTCTCTTGTTTCTCATTTTCCTCTTGACAATACCCCATAGATTCTCTATGGGGTTCAGGTCTGGTGAGTTTGCTGGCCAGTCAAGCACACCAACACCATGGTCATTTAACCAACTTTTGGTGCTTTTGGCAGTGTGGGCAGGTGCCAAATCCTGCTGGAAAATGAAATCAGCATCTTCAAAAAGCTGGTCAGCAGAAGGAAGCATGAAGTGCTCCAAAATTTCTTGGTAAACTGGTGCAGTGACGTTGGTTTTCAAAAAACACAATGGACCAACACCAGCAGATGACATTGCACCCCAAATCATCACAGACTGTGGAAACTTAACACTGGACTTCAAGCAACTTGGGCTATGAGCTTCTCCACCCTTCCTCCAGACTCTAGGGCCTTGGTTTCCAAATGAAATACAAAACTTGCTCTCATTGGACCACTGGGCAACAGTCTAGTTCTTCTCCTTAGCCCAGGTAAGACGCCTCTGACGTTGTCTGTGGTTCAGGAGTGGCTTATCAAGAGGAATACGACAACTGTATCCAAATTCCTTGACACGTCTGTGTGTGGTGGCTCTTGATGTCTTGACCCCAGCCTCAGTCCATTCCTTGTGAAGGATTTTGCTTGACAATCCTCATAAGACTGTGGTTCTCTCGGTTTGTTGTGCATCTTTTTCTTCCACACTTTTTCCTTCCACTCAACTTTCTGTTAACATGCTTGGATGCAGCACTCTGTGAACAGCCAGCTTCTTTGGCAATGAATGTTTGTGGCTTACCCTCCTTGTGAAGGGTGTCAATGATTGTCTTCTGGACAACTGTCAGATCAGCAGTCTTCCCCATGATTGTGTAGCCTAGTGAACCAAACTGAGAGACCAGTTTGAAGGCTCAGGAAACCTTTGCAGGTGTTTTGAGTTGATTAGCATGTCACCATATTCTAATTTGTTGAGATAGTGAATTGGTGGGTTTTTGTTAAATGTGAGCCAAAATCATCACAATTAAAAGAACCAAAGACTTAAACTACTTCAGTCTGTGTGCATTGAATTTATTTAATACACGAGTTTCACAATTTGAGTTGAATTACTGAAATAAATGAACTTTTCTACGACATTCTAATTTGTTGAGATGCACCTGTATTTGAAATAGAAATCACTTTATCCATTTAATGCATCCTTGCTGAAAAAAAAAATCTTACTGACCCCAAACTTGTGAACAGTAGTGTAAGTGGTTTAGGCTGAATAAGTTGCAGAAGTTTCTTACTTGAGTTAAAAACAAACTCTAACCACAACTCTAACCACATTTATGGAAAATCAATGCCTTGCAGGCACTAGAAAAATACATAAAAGGACTTTCAATACAGGGCTCACTTTGCAAGCCTTGTAAAAGAACAACATGTGTAACTTTTTGGAATCGTTACCTGCATTTCAGATGGATGCAGCCTTGCTGAAATAGTTTACTGGCTTATCTCCTCCTATCATCAGAGGCTTGGATGGCAGCCATGCGCAATGATTTGGCTGAGAGACAGCAAGCCAGGCAGACTGGCAATTATTTTGTCACATCTAACCTGCGCAACACTCCCTCACTTCTCTCTCTCTCTCTCTCTCTTTATTTTAGTCATGCTGCTGGTACTTCAGATTTGCTTTGGCAGAACTTTGCAACTTTCCCCCTTTTTCTGTTTTGGCTCCTTCATGTTTGTGAATCTAACGTTACCTGCATACCTGTGGTCGTGACATGCTGTCTGTTTCACTAGTGTGAAGACTTGCAGTCTTATACAACAGTATTGAGAACAAACTGAAGGAACGGTGCCAGAGTGCGATTGGACTAGACCTGAGACCAGTCTGAACAGGATTTGTCAGGTAATGACATGAGTTATGACTGATGATGTGTGCTGATGTCATTCATACCAGGCATGACGGTTTTATCGCAGGCCACACATTTGGAGGAGAACTCGTTGCAGTAGCAGTCATTGCACAGAAGAGCATCATCCTGGCTGGTGAAGGGCTCGTCTGCCAGCGAACGGTCACAGCGGAAACAGCGGAAGCAGTGCTCGTGGTAGTGACGGTCCTCATAAAATAGCTCCTGAATCACAAGAACAGGGATGTTATGAACATTTAAAGGGTTAGTTCACCCAAAAATGAAAATTCTGTCATTAATTACTCACCCTCACGTCGTTCCAAACCCGTAAGACCTCCGTTCATCTTCAGAACACAAATTTGGTGTTATGCTGTTCTGTGTCAGCCGCACCACACGGATACGGTTTTTTATGTTTATTTACGCTTTGATTTGAACGAAAACAACGTATCTGTGTGGTGTGGCTGACACAAATAGCATATGTGGAGGAGACAAATTGTTGAATAAAGTCGTTATTTTAGTTTTCTTTGCATACAGAAAGTATTCTCGTAGCTTCGTAAAATTACAGTTGAACCCCTGTGCCACATGGATTATTTTACCGATCTCCTTGCTACGTTTCTGGACCTTGATCGTGAGAGCTCTCAGAATGCATCAAAAATATCTTAATTTGTGTTCCGAAGATGAACGGCGATCTTACGGGTTTGGAATGACATGAGTGTGAGTAATTAATGACAGAATTTTCATTTTTGGGTGAACTATCTCTTTAAGGGGAGAGTTCATGCAAAAATCATGTCATATGACCTTTTTTCAATGGAACACAAAAGGTAAAATGTTGAAGAATGTACTTTTGTGAGGGTGAGTAAATCATGACAAATAGTTCATTTTTAAGGTGAAAACCAAAACGTGTTCACCACAAACATTAACTAGCAGCAGATGGTGCACTGGTGTCTCAATATTAGAATATAAAAAAATTGCAGTTATTGTTAAAGACAAGTTGACATACCAACAGATTAGCCATGATTATGAGAAAAAAAGTCAGAGGAGGCCACAAATTAAACCGCTTTTCCTCGATCCCAAGAACATTTCTGATTAAGATCTCAAGTAATAGCTATTCAGCCTCTCAAACGCTAGCACATGTGCATCTAGTTCTGAGTGAGTGTCTGTGGAGAACATGGTGCCTGGGTCAACTACTCATGTAAAATATGTAAACATATAGTAATAAGACAGGGAGGGTGAAATTTATGACCTGTGCTGCAATTGGCCAAGTCAAAAACAGTGACTTAATTTAGTATCTGCCATTGTCAATAAGTCATCAGACTCTTTGTCTGTAAGCGCATGGACTCGCAATTTCCTGTGGAGAGTTTACTGTGGTAAATGAACTGCATTGTTTGGTTATATTTACTTTTGAAGGGATTAGTTACCCTCAGAATGGGAAGGATTAAAAACTCAATTGGTTGCTATTATGTTTTGCCTTAGGTTTTTAACATTGTTGGCCTGACTGAAGTTGAATAACATTTCTAATTGGACAATAAATGCCTCTCTCAAAAGAACTGCTAAACTGACAGTTTCAGCCTGAAACCACATAAAAACTCTTTCACGTAATTGAGTCTCAAATTTTTCCAACCACCATGGATATGCTCCTGTAAAATCAAAATTTTGCAGTAGAATGTGAACCAGGCACTGTTTGCATGGCTTTATTTAGGGAATCGTTCAGTCAGAAGTTCAAATTTTGGAGGTCTAAAGTTGCGGTCAAATTTACCGTCAGTTGGAAAATATTGTGGGAGAAATCTAGTTATTCCAATACAAATTCACATCTGGAATTTTGTGAGAGATTTCACACTGGGTTCATGCAATTTGGTCATGCAAATTTGTCACATTGGTCAATAGAAAGAAAGATTTGAAAGCGACTTCTGCCAAACTACTGATAATGGACCTTTTTTTCCCCGTCAAAACGTGATTGCACCTTAAAGCAACAGTCCATATTTATTGTCATTGTATTTAAAAGAGCAGCTTAAAAATATCTTATTTTGTGTTCCACAGAAGAAATAAAAAAAGAAGTAAAGAACAGAAGAAATAAAAGTAATACAGGTTTGGAATGACACAAGTGCGAGTAAATTAGGTTTAAATTAACTATCGCTCTAATAAGTAAAACTCACTCTTGAATCATGGCCAATCAGCTCTTTGCACTCATCGCAGGTGTTGGCGAACAGGCTGTCGTAGCAAGGGATGCAGTAAGGGTTGTCCTCCGCCTGGATGTACTTCCTGCCATATAAGGACTCCTTGCAGTTGTCACAGTCAAAGCGTTCACTCATGTTGCTCTGATCCGAGTCAGTCCCTGTAACAACACAAGGAAGATTCAGGAAGGTGAGCTTTCAATCATAGCTGCATCGCACTGAGAGAAAGACACACACGAACAAACACAAACAAGCAGATCTGTCACGAAGCACTTTGCAAAACGTCTATTAAGTTTTATAGCTCTGTGATGATAGCTGGGAAATGAGAGGGAGGAAGCTGGAATTTTAGCAAGCACACAACCTTATGCTGCATGTGACGTAGGGCTGGACAATAATTCAATATCAATATGTATCGCGATATAATTCTTTTCAATAATGGTGATATGATTTTTAAACACATTTCCGATATACATTACCAGTGTTTCCCATACATTGATTTATTTGTGGCATTTGACTTTGTTGAATAAACATGAGTAATGCACGTTTCAAAATCAAAACGTGTCGCGGGTGTTTTATATGAATGTATCTCTGAAGGGGAGCGACTGTCTTCAGAAAAGTTTCGATGACATTTTCATTTTATCTGACAAAGAAGCGTTCATGAGCGGAGCTGATTTCATTACAGCCGTTACCGGAGAAACCGCAAGTTCTACCGCTCTCACAGCGCCTCCTGCTGGCAGACAATCAGTTTTTCAATTTTCAATAAGCCCGTCTCCAACAACATGTTTTTGTTGTTGCTCTTTTTATAAAAAGCTTTTGTAACATTATACACTATACCGTTCAAAAGCTTGGAGTCAGTATGATTTCTCTTTCTTTCTTTCTTTTTTGGAAAGAAATTATAGAAATGAATACTTTTATTTAGCAAGGATGCTTTAAATTGATCAAAAGTGATGATAAAGACATGTATAATGTTACAAAAGATTTCTATTTCAGATAAATGCTGTTCTTCTGAACTTTCTATCCTTCAAAGAAACCTGAAAAAATCCTACTCTGCTGTTTTCAACATCATAATAATAAATGTTTTTTGAGCAGCAAATCAGAATATTAGAATGAATTCTGAAGGATCATATGACTGGAGTAATGATGCTAAAAATATAGCTTTGAAATCACAGGAATAAATTGCATTTTAAAATATTTCCAAATAGAAGAGAGTTATTTTAAATAGTAAAATTATTTCAAAATGTTACTGTTTTTGCTGTATTTTGGATCAAATAAATGCAGGCTTGGTGAGCAGAAGAGAATTCTTTAAAAACAATAAAAATCTTATAATTAATAAGGTGAGTCTGAGATGTTTATTTGACAGTGATTTCACATTTCTTGTTTGTATGAAGGCTAAATACAAATAAAAGGTGAACATTCATTTATTTGTGCAGTTTTTTTCCCCTAAAGTATTATATGGTTTTATATGAGGTGTCATAGACTTGGCAAATTCATTTTTCATAAGTTTGTATGCACAGACATCTGTTGTGGGCGTTCTTGGCAGGTTTTACAAGGCTTTTTTAAATAGTGTTCATATCGATATCGGAATTATATTGTATCGACTGAAATTAAGAAATATATTGTGATATAAATTTTTGCCATATCGTCCAGCCCTAATGTGACATGGCAGCTGTAGTGGCGCTTCAACGGGAGGTCCCTTTTAGACATTTCTAAGTTTGACCCCCACTTTTTGAGAGATGATCATTGTGTTTTAAGAGCTTCATTTTGCTTGGGCACAGAGCAAAGACCAATGTTTCTCAATGTTTTTCACTATGTCACACTGTGATGATTGTGTTTTTGAGACACTGTAGCAAGATAAAAGTACTTTAACTTTTAAAAAAGCATCAAGGCCTTTTTCCCCAAAAAATGTTGTGTCTGCATCTTGCCGTTTTTGCATGAAAGTAAATGACCCCTTTAACATGGCTAGACTTTTAGCAAGTTATGTAAGACTACATAATCAGACAAACGTTAAATCAAAATGTAACTTCACAAACCAGAATTGGAGTTGAATAATTATTGATTATTTTTATACGTTATCAGAGAGCTGAGTGAGACACTGTAGCAAGATAAAAGTACTTTAACTTTTAAAAAAGCATCAAGGCCTTTTTCCCCCAAAAATGTTGTGTCTGCATCTTGCCGTTTTTGCATGAAAGTAAATGACCCCTTTAACATGGCTAGACTTTTAGCAAGTTATGTAAAACTACATAATCAGACAAACGTTAAATCAAAATGTAACTTCACAAACCAGAATTGGAGTTGAATAATTATTGATTATTTTTATACGTTATCAGAGAGCTGAACTTTTCAAACCATTGCTTGCACATATGGCCAAATAGGCAATTAATGAGTATTGATTTCCCCTTTGTTATAGGTTTATCACATTTCTGGAGTTTGCATCCAAAGCCCAAAGTATACTTCACTTTTTATGTGTACGCTAGCATATGCGTACAGTGCGTACAACACGAATTTCGTCATCAGAATAGTATGCGAACCCCGCGTACTCGTGGGGAAGTCGTGGCCTAATGGTTAGAGAGTCGGACTCGTAACCCAAAGGTTGCGAGTTCGAGTCTCCGGTCCACCTTCAATACCATGACTGAGGTGCCCTTGAGCAAGGCACCGAACCCCCAACTGCTCCCCAGGCGCCGCAGCATAAATGGCTGCCCACTGCTCCGGGTGTGTGTTCACGGTGTGTGTGTGCATTTAGGATGGGTTAAATGCAGAGCACTAACCATACTTGGCCACATGTCACTTCACTTTTTTTCACTTTGTTCGCGCAGGTCACACATGCGCATTTCATTTGTTTTGTGCTAATCCGTTGTTCCACAAGGTGGCAACGATGTTTCACAGTAGAAAACGAAAACTAAAGAGACGGAACAACAACAGCAACAAAATACAAATAGAATCCATTATAATCAGCAATGCTGTCTACACTGGATGAGGCGCGGCGCAACACAACAAATTCCCGACAGTAAACTAATGCCACGTTCTATTTATAACGTATAATAGAACTATTTCATAAATACAACTATTTATGACGCAAAGTTCAAGTCCAGTTCAGACACTGGACTAAGGTGAAGCGTTCTAGTATGCATGTGTCGACCACCTGAGTTTGCGAATACTATCAAATGGAGTACACTTTGAAAGGCTACGCGTTCGTCTGTATGCATACGCTAGTTTACATGTACATAAATGAAGTATACTTTGGGCTTAACTAGGGCTGAACGATTTTGGAAAATAATCTAATTGCGATTTATTTTTACCAATATTGCGATTGCGATTTAATATGCGATTTATTTTTTAAGCTCTTTATCGTCTGTATTATTCAACAAAGACAAGCAATAAATCATTGTAGGGGTGGGAATCTTTAGGCACCTCACGAGTCGATTCCGATTCTGGGAGTCGCAGTCAGATTCCAAAACTATATATTTTTTTCTTATTGATTAGTCTTATTAATAAAACTTTTTTTTTAAATTCCATATGTAATTATAAGTACTTTTTAAAAATAAATTACACATAAAAAAATTTAATTAAAACAATTGCATGTTAATAATTTTAAATAAACTAATATAAGACAGGGCTTAGATTAAGCCAGGATTAGGCCTTAGTTTAATTAGGATATATAAGTAGCTTAAACGTGCCTTAGAAAAAAAACATTACTGGTGTGTATCTTGAATGACAATGGCACTGATATATTTTAAGACATGTCAGTGCAAGTTGCTTTCAGTTAAGACAGCTCAAACATTTATTTTAGTCTGGAACTAGGCATACAAGCAAGTATGTACTTTCAGTATTTAAGAGTATCTGAACATTTTCCTTTCAAGAGCTGTTTGTGATTTTTGTTGTTCATTATGATGCTATCATAGAGAGCTATGGAGATATTATACTGCATTCACACTAATGCACAGATCTCTTTTGAAATATAAGATGTGGTTTGTCCTGTCTGTTTGATCCTTTAAGACATAACTGACCGTGTTTACATTAATTTCGCGTCATAAAAGCATTTTGAAATGCAAGTATATTTAACCACTTAAAAGGAGTCGCGCACAGCCGCATGACCGAGCACTCTTCACAAAGCAAGCTTCAGCATTTGAAATTGACATAACGACATAACTGAGGCGGTGTTCGTAGAGCATTTGTAAGGAAAATACCGGCGGGCGAGACGAAACACTGCAAGCGTCAGCAACGCACGCGTTTCTCACAGCGCATCCTGTTCAGTGAAGCGCGCGAATGGCCTTTTAATTCGCTTCAACCTTTCCGAACTTTATGAAAGGTTATTGTGTGGATGGTTCGAGTGGTGTGAGAGAGAGAGAGAGAGAGAGAGAGAGAGAGAGAGAGAGAGAGAGAGAGAAAGCGCGCAACTGGAAGCCAGCAGGATGAGTTTCTAAAGCACATGCAGCGCCATCGCGCATCTGTGGTTAAAAACTAGCTCAGAATCTTTTGAGAATCTTTTCTCCCATCTCTATTGTATAGTATGACCAACACAATATTAGATAGATTAAACAAAGTGTGCTTTTCTGTAGGCCAGGCATATGCGTAGTGTGCCAAGTTGATGCTTCCTCTGCAGACTGCTTTACTCTTGCGAGTCACGTGACGAGAATGTAATTGCAGCCTTGCGGTTAAAAAAATAAAAATCGTGTTTTGTCATATCGCGATATTATCGCAATTGCGATTAATCGTTCAGCCCTAGGCTTAACCCAGACTTTCTCGCTTAGTCATCCACGTGCCAAAAAAAGGACAAACCCTCACTGCCTGACAGATAAAAGGCTTGCAAGATCACAGAGGTAAGACTATATTGTTGACTGTTGGAGGTCTGCGCATTTGCATGCTTCACCAGCAAATATTTGTGAAGTAAACACTTCTGCCTTGGATGCGCAGACCACCTAGGGAGATTGTTTAGAGAACCGCAAAAGTAACAAGAACTCTTAAATTTTTTGAAAGACCAAGCACTGATCCCAAGCAACACAGATGGGTTTGTGTTTTTTATTTTGTAATGTCTGTCTTACATCAGACGCACATCTTCTTAGGGGAGTATGGATCAGATTAGTTCACATTCGGTACAAAAACATACTCCACATTCACAATGTAAGGTGTTAAAACCATTTACAGTAATCACGTAAACCGACAG